ACGGGCAAGACCCGGGCGCCGCAAAACGCAGCGGGGAAGGAAGGTTTGCGTTTGCGTGGGGGTGAGGTTTATGGTTTTTACTTATTTATTAGCTCAAAGCAGAACGTCCTTGATCTTTAGCACGTGCCTCAGAAAAGCAGATCCTGAAGCAATTCCAGGGTGACGCAGGATGCCAAAGCCAGGTGGCCTTTGCCGCTGGTCAGAGCGGCCGTGCAGCGAGCCCTACGCTATGGCTTTAGGATAAAACACCTGATTTATAGAACAAACAGATTTAACTACGTACCTCTTAAAAATGTTTTAATTGGTAGAGATACTTTTTAAATTATTGGTGATCCAACGTTCGCAAAGCTCTGATTAGCTCTGCGCGAGTGTTCTGGCGTCGCGATGTTCCCCAGCTGCTCCTCTTAACTTTCAAGTTGTCTTTTCTCATGTCACTAGTAATAAATGATCTGAAAACTGTAATATAGGGAAGTCTTTTATTTTTCATTCAAAACTTTTCAGTGTTTGTTATGGTGTTTACTTAGAAATAAATACATAATATATCCTGCCAAACTGAGATGCCCTTTTGCTTCTCTTGTGTCGCATGTGACTGGCGCTGCATGTTCGAGGAAGGCGTTTCCTATATCAAACTGTCTGTATTTAAAAAAAAAAAAAGAAAAGAAGAGACGAAAACAAATGCTGTGGCTTTATCAGTGCAGTAAGACGCTTGAAAAGGTGCCTTGAAGGCAGCCGAAAATCCCCTCCAGCCTGTGTGTGAGTCTTTCCTCTGGTACGGTTTTATTTTTACAGAGAGTTTCTGGTGCGGGCTCCGGCGTAGCCTACGGACGAGGCACTTGTCCTTGTCAAACGTTGCAAGTACTTAACCAGGCAACAATTTCTTTTTAATTTTGGATAAAAGCGTGGATGCTCAAATGCTACATGAGTAAATACAGCACGGGAATAAGACGGGGTTGCGTTACGTGTTAGACTTTGTACAAGCGAGGCAGGTGGCCACCAGCTCTCAGCTTGGGAGAAACGCCGGGTGCTTTTTCTGGATGCTCAGCGTGGTGTTAAAGCCTTCCGGAGCTGCAGGCGTGCCCGCTCGGACCGTACCGCTGGCGGAGCAGAAGTGCCTCCGGGAGACCGTCACTTAGTTAATTCATAAAAGGGTGTTTTTTATCGCTCGTTCGGCTACGCGCCGATTCGCGTGTGATGACGCTGCTGGGGTCTGGGGAGCTCTGGGGCCGCTCCGGCGCCGAACAGCGGAACAACCCCACGTAAACATCGCTTGCTTCATAAAAGTGCATCCCAAGGGGTATCAAGAACAACTTTTAAATCAGAGCGGTCTCTTTTAGGAGAGCGTTGGGAAACTGGGAAGCTTTTGCTCCTTTCGAATGTGCCATCCAACTTCCAAACTCTTCCTTCAGCTTGCCTTTGGCTACATGTATGCATATATATATATAATATATATATATAAACTTTAGCGCTGTCGCAGCACGGAGAGGCGGGAGCAGGCGGGTACGAGGCAGCCTGCGCGCGGACAGGTTTTTAAACAGTATTGGCCAAATGGGCTCTGGTTAGCCGACAGCGCCGGGTAACGCCGGCGCTGCAGCGAGCCCCTTTTCGCTGTGCGCGCTTTGCTTCGCGGACACCTCGGACCTGGGGGAACCGATACAATGAACTTCTTGTGACAAAATAAAATACCGCGCTTAGCGCTTAGCTCCTCGGCCAGGAGGCAAGAGGGCTCGATCCCGGTCGCAGCTCCGCAGCTCGCTGCCGCTGGGTGGGTTTGTCCGCCTGTGAGTCGCTTCAGCCGTCTAGCGTCACATCAGGCCGTTTAGCCGCTGCCAGGCTGGCTTTCCCCAGCCGCCGCGACGGCTCTCCTCGTCCCCTTTCCGGCACACGCGTGTTCCCCGGCCGCTCGGGAGGAACGCAACGCCCGCTATCTTGGAGCAAACTCACAGCGATAGCTAGCGGTACTTAGGGACAAACGGGCGGTACGGACAGGAGGACTTAGAAGCGGTTGCATTGCACCTGTGTTTTAAGCAAAGGTTCTGTTCGGTTTCTCTGTTGCTTCTTAAAGGCAGCCGAGCGGGCACGGGCACCCTGGTCCAGGACCGGTTTGCATTCGCCGCCCCCGTTTGCATTCG